ATCCTCTTTCTAGGAGTTGAATTCATTCACGAATTCAAACGCTGTTATAAGGGTGGGGCCTGGAGGTATCTGGAGCCAGGGCAAACCTTGCCAGGCTGAACACACACTGCGGAAGAATAAGGATGTCAGGTAGCAGAAGCCTGTAGGGTGTCTTCAATCCTGCTGGGTGGAGTCGGGGAAGTCTTGGAAGAGGTGGGGATGGGGCTGGCAGAACTGTATTATTAAAGGGATCATGGAGGCCGGGCGGTGGTGGCGCACGCCTTTAATCCCAGCACTCAGGAGGCAGAGCCAGGCGGATCTCTGTGAGTTCGAGGGCAGCCTGGGCTACCAAGTGAGTTCCAGGAAAGGCACAAAGCTACACAGAGAAACCCTGTCTCGGAAAAAAATAAATAAATAAATAAAATAAAATAAAGGGATCATGGAGTACAAAGGTTTGTGGGCTCTAAGGAATGGATTAGGGAAGTACGAAATGTTCTAGATTAGCGTGGGTGGAGTGAAGAGCTTGAGTGAAGGCAGTTAGCTGGGGAAGTCAGTGGGGCCAGAGCCCAAAGGTCACAGGAGTTGAGACATGTTTGGGGATGCTTCGAGGGATCTAAACCCTGAGACTGGCGTAGCTATGCTGAAATATCACTCGAGTTGCCTGTGGGAAGTGAACCGGAGAGAGAGACATGGGAGGCAGGCCAGTTAGGAGGTTGTTGGCACCAGTCCAGGCAAAAAAGGACAGTGGCTTGCATTGGGGTGAGGTCTGGGGTGAAAGAAGTGAGTGGAGCTTGGAGGAAAAGCAAGCCGGGTATGTATTGAGGTGGCTGCTCGGGTCTCTGGGGGAACCAAGGGTGATTACAGGTTTTCCTTTGTGCGAGGCAGAGTCCTCCGCAGAGACAAATGGCGACAATACTCTAGTCCCCGACGGAGGTCACAAGGCTGGCTGCTCACAGAGGCGGACAGGTGAAAGTCAGATCTCCTGGGGCTTCAGCCCTCCTCCACCCCAGCCTGTCACTCATCTTCTCTGGGTTGATGCTGCCGAAGCTGGACGCTTCCAACAGTAACGGAAGGTCTCTCTCACCAGATCTGAAGCCGTGGGTCTCCAACTTCACCTATCCTGGAGTCCGGGATTTCTCCCAGCTTGCTCTTGATCCCTCCAGGAACCAGCTCATCGTGGGAGCTAGGTAATGGGGTACAGAAGATAGGGGGAGAGAAGGGAGCACTGGGAATGGGGTAGAGGGGATTGTCTTAGTTAGGGTTTCTATTGCTGTGATGAAACACCATGACCAAAAAGCAAGTTGGGGAGGAAAGGGTTTATTTGGCTTACACTTCAGCATTGCCGTTCATCACTGAAGGAAGTCAGGGCAGGAACTCAAACAGGGCAGGATTCTGGAAGCAGGAGCTGATGCAGAAGCCATGGAGGAGCACTCTTACTGGCTTGCTTCCCCTGGTCTGCTCAGCTTACCTTCTTAAAGAACCCAGGACCAGCAGCCTAGGGACGGCACCACCCACCATGGGCGGGTCCTCCTTCAGTGATCACTAAATGAGAAAATACCTTACAGCTGGATCTCATCGAGGCATTTTCTCAGCTGAGGCTCCTTCCTTTCTGATGACTCTAGCTTGTGTTACGTTGACAGACGAAACCAGCTGGTACAGGATTACTACTGGGATGAGTGCTCTGTGGACACGTTGGTCTCCTGGGTCCCTGTCCTCCGTGCCAGGCCCTGTCTGTGTTAATGACTGTCTATCATCGAGTTATGAGTGCTAAGAAGGAAGGGCGTGGCCCTCAACCTCACCAACTCAGCTAGATTCATTCATCAAAAGTTGTTAGGGTAGGAAGAGCAAGGACCTCAGCCCTGATGCCAGGACCAGCCGGGTTAGAGGTGCCCAGGAGCCCCCTGCTGGCCATCTGGCTGTCTGCACTTCAGGTGCCAGCGTGGGTCATATGCTTCTTTTATAAAGGGCCTCATGTTTTGTAGCCTGTCCACCTTTGTCCCCACTGTCCAGATCCAGATTCAGAAGCAAAACTGCATCTTCTAGGCTTCCAGGCAGAAAGGGAGGAACTAACCACCATGAATCATTTATTGCCCATGAGGAGCTTAGAGATAAGGCGGGGGTCCCTAGGCCAGCTTCCCCCATAGCCCCTGGGAACTTACCGAAAGGTGATACTTGAGTCTTCCCCAGTCTCTTGGATCAGAAACGGTAGGACTAGACCCCAGCCTTGTTTCAACAAGGCCTCCCATGTTGAAATGGTCTGACCCAAGACCACACAGCAAGAAGACACAGGCTTGGGACTAGAACTCAGACCTCCTAACTCCAGGGCTATGGGTCTGTGTTGGGACAGCTGAAAGCATGACATTCTGGCTCAGCTTGTGCAGGTGAGAAGGACACTCCAGGTGACGCCATGGAACTGGCCATGCCTGCCCTTTCGTTCTCCCCCTTTTGTTTGCTGTGTGAAAAGGAGGTGAGTCACCTACAAAGCTCCCGTCTGCAGTCAGCTGAGCTGGGTCCTTAGTCTGGGCAAACGACCTTGGAGCCTCAGTTTCCTCTTCCATGGCCAACCTCCCAGGGATGCTGGGATGCTGGAGCTGAAAGCTTTTAAAATTTTTCTGAATGAAGTATCATTTTATAGCAGCATTGTATGTGTTACAGTGTAACAGGCCAGCTACATATAATATCCAATAAGAACCAAGCCACCCCTCCCACGAGCAGGCCTCTCTAGGCGCTCCCAGCATCCTCTGAGAGATGGTCTGTATAGATGCAGACAGACCAGAGTGTGGGCTTTCTTTCCCAGTAAAGACAGCGCTTGTTTTGCTTTCTATTTTGAGAAGGTTGCCCACTCATAAATAGAGAGATTTCACATCCCCTGCTCTCAGGTCCTGCCTGTGGCAACATCATATATACAATATATATATATATATATATATATATATATATATATATATATATATATATATATATATAAATAACAGAACTATAACCTGGAAACTGATATTCATGCCATTCTTTCTCCTGGCTAAGGTTTCACCAACCAGCACTTTGAGCAGCATATGTCCACTCACATCTGTAACCCTAGCATTACGGATGCTGAGGCAGGAGGATCACCTTGAGTTCAGGATAAGCCCAGGCTACATAGTGAGGCCTTGTCTCCAAAAATGAAAAAGCAAAGCAAACAAACAGGGCTAGTGAGATGGCCAATAAAGGAGCTTGCTGGCAAACCTGACGATCTGAATTCAATCCCCAGGACCTACGTGCATGCACGGCCCTCACATGCTCCCGCATACACACACACACACACACACACACACACACACACACACACACACACACCATAAATTAAAATATAATACATACTAAAAACAAACAAACCCACAAACATACATAGACACCTTTTATACCCAAAGAGTAGCATCCCAAGACTGTGCTCTGAATCTGAAGACAGCATTTGGAAAAAAAAAAACAAAAAATGTTTGTTTCAGGACTGCCACACGCACGATGTTATGCGGCAGCTGTGTGATAAATCAGATAACACATGTAGTACACCACACAACAGGTAATCTAGTGTATGTAGGAAACCACACATGTAGAAAATAATCTGGGCTTCACTGTCAGCCCTGGGGGCACATGCTGTGATGGCTCCCATTTTGTAGATAGAGAAAGAGTGACAGAGAGGTTGCCACCTGCCTGTGGTCACACTGTCCCCCAGATCCACTTTGGGTCTCCCATGAAGAAGGTGGTTATGTGTTCTGTCTGCAGGTTTTCTTCATGTATGTAGCTAGAGGCACAGCTTCTCCTGGTCCTTTGAGCCTAGCTCTGCCTTTAGAGAAGGAAGCATTCTATCCTGGACTGGTCCTTTCTGCCCCTAGAGCTGGTGTCCTGGATCCTGGGCTCTTTCTGATGTTCCACACTTGGTTTTTTTTTTTTTTTTTTTTTTTTTTCTGAGCACCCCCCTCCCCCCGCCTCTGCCTGATTTTTTCCCCTTCTCTCCTCAACACCCCTGGACCTCCGGAATCCAGGCTGGGGAAATGTTTTCATCCATCTATAGCCTGCCTTATTCCCTATGGGATCGGGAGCTGGGCGGGATGCAATGGTTTCCTGCTCACATCTCCCAGCTCCCTGAGAGCTGACTGAGATGTTATGATGAATGATTTTTGATGGGATAAAAATGAATCGAGTGATGTGATGTTTCCCCTAATTTGTTAAAGCTGTGAGCAGATGCCGACATTACCTGAGCACACAGCTGGGGTAGAGCCACAAGCTGGAGTCCATCTGTCCCGGGGCCAGGAAGCTCTGCCAAGGACCTGGAGAGGGGGCTGCGGAGGGACAGCAGAGGCTTGGAGCCAAGGTCATGGGCAAGGCCACCCCGCCCTAGGCCAGTGGAGAAGCAGCGTGAATCTCCTTCTGGGCCAGCAGCCAAGTCATGAGAGGAATCTCCCAGCCTTCAGTGTCCCGTTCCCACCCCTGCCCTCCTTCCCTTTCTGGCTCAGTCTCTCCTCGTCTCTTCTCAGCACAGCTGAGGTGGCCAGAAGTTCCTAGATTAATTATTCCTAAAAAGTTCAGGAACCTGAAGAGGATGGCCAAAGGCAGATAGAAAAAGGAAAGAAGGTTCTTTGGAAAAAAAAAAAACAAGCTACATCTGCTTTTCATTAATAAAGCCTTTTAATGTGTCTCCACGGGACCATGAAGAAGTCAGGCATGAAGTAGTTCTCCATTTTGCGGACACAGACACCGAGGCCCACAAGGCCCCATTAAACAGTGGAGCTGGGAATCCCACCTCTTTCTGCTACAGGGTCTATTCTCACAGCCTGAACTCGTTGTGATGGCACACTCTGACCCTCCCCACCACCCTCGTGACTCCCAAATTCTAAGTCTTGGTCATCTGGCTGCTAGAGCTCAAACAGGATCAGTGGTGGTGCTGAATTTGATGATGTTAGCATTACCATCATCATCATCATCATCACCATCATCATCATCATCATCATCACAGTTAAGGCTTGTGAGCCACCAGCTGTCACATGAGAATAGTGTAGAGGCTGGACTACATATAAACATATATGTAGGACTGTGCAGGCTGGGCTGGGGAGACAGTAGTCCAGGGAGAGGCTGTGGAAAAGGCAAATCTAGAGTCACTGGGTATAGGTGAGGCTTCACACAGAATCCCGGGGCCTCTGTGGGAGCCTATCTGCCTCCCTGCAAGAGGTCTCGAGGATTCAGTTGAACAGAAACAGGCTCCATGGTTAGGAAAGGTGAGGTCACAAACTAAACAAAGCCATTTAGTTTGCAGGTCTTAACTGACCTTATCTTGATTCTAGAATCTGGTGGACGTGGCCGAAGAGGTTGGCTTTAGAGACAGAGAAGGGAAGCAGGGGGGTGGGGATGGGAACAGAACAAAGTAGGACCTCCAGACTTCAAAATTACCTGCCTTGTAAAGTGGACACAGGGAGATAGAAAATAGAAGACTAGTCATCGTTAGCTCCAGGTGATGTCACATGACTCAGGGCAGAGAGCACTTCACTATCATGGCAACAGAAACTAGCCTGGCTGGGAATGTGGTCCTTCTCTTCCCCCAGTTTCTCAGAAGAAGGTCAGTTTTGCTTTCATGATGAGCGTCGAACATGAGCATAAGTGACTCCATTTTGATTTTTCAGTCTGGTGCATTGGGGCCTCTTATGAATACTTAGTCCAAAACAATGGCATTCTGTTAGTTCTATTTAACAGTGGATCCAGGCAGTTCCTTCCTGCGCTTGCTGGGTCAGCCAGGAGCAGATACTCCACCAAGTCTACAGGTTTATCCGCTCGTTCCTCCCAACTCTTCAGTTTACCATCTCTGTGACTTGGACCATTACGCACCCTGCCTCCTGTAAAATGGAGTTTCCTGTAGCTACTGCCAGGCTGGGTGAAGGTTCAATGAACTAACCAAGGTGAAGCTCTTCCTTGGAGTTGGCTCACCCTAAGTCCTGCAGAGGACATCTTCCTGGCACCCCATGAGACCTGGGCTGGGAGATTGCCTTCCGGGGTCCTACCTACAGAGTCAGTGACTTGTGATTTTCATTCTGTTTATTTTATTTTCACAGGAACTACCTCTTCAGACTCAGCCTTGCCAATGTTTCCCTTCTTCAGGTACATTTGCTTTTCTTCCCTTCCTGTGTTTTTTTCTGTATTTGGAAGCTGGAAGCCGGGCAGTGTGAGTAGCGGGATACCTAATCATCCCCTAGGATGAACTGCAGGAACCCCCTATTCTTTTCCTGGTCACCAACTAAAACCCTGCTTATCAAAGCCACCGCTGGGAGGACACGTGGAAATGGGGTGCAGAGCACTCACCCATGGAGGTACACACAGGTCTCGTGCATTGTGCTGAGGAGCTTGGCAAGGGAAGGAAAAGGGGCCACCAGGCTGAGGTGCCCCCACCCATCGGCTGGGGCTGAGGGCTTTGCCAAGATGCAGAACTTTCGGGCTAAAAATGGGACTCTACAGAGCAAACGAGGCCAGTGAGTCACACTGAGTACAAAGCCCAACCCAGAGTTTGGGCCTCAGGGGAAATGGTGTCCCTGGCTCCTTTCTTAGCTTGGCCTGAGAGATCCTGGTCTATCTCGGCATTTTCATTGAACTGTGATTGATTTATTATCTGCTGCCAAGCCAGGCTCCCCAAGCATAATTCCCTAAGTGCTCTGAGAGGCTTTTTAATGGGACTCCTTGATCCAGAACAGTTATCCCAGATTGAGAAACAGATGCCAAACCATCTCTGCTGAGGCTGAACATTATCGAGAAAGGACAGCCATTCTTCTTCAAGGAGGGGAGAGCCTCCATTGGCCTGTCCAGGAGCTGTCTTGACAGCCTAGCATTCGTTGGGCACTTATTGAATACCAGCACTGAGCTGGGAGCTTGGGGGTATTAGACAAGCAGAATCTCTGACTCCAGGGAAAGATGATGATGGATGCAAACAGTCTAGTTAGAACTCGGGCGTTAATCAAGTGCTGGGCTGTTGGGTGTGTGGCTTTGCAACAGCAAGCAGTTAAGGAAGGGGAAACCTCCTTGATAAGCTAGTTTGACCTTCTGGTCTCCTTGCATTCAACCTGGTCCACATGCTCAGTGACTATTGTACCTCTTAGCTGGACACCAGAGGAAGTATCTAAGGGATGTGCCCTTTGGAAAGGAGGGGTCAGAGGAACCTGGGAGAAGGGGTGGGTAAAAGGAAATGCCATGTATCCATTAATGCATACTTTCCCTAATCCAACCTGCCATCCATCTGATAAACACTTAATGAATATCCATAAAGGCCAAGTCTAGGCCTAGGTATACTATGGGCTGATGGTGAAACATCTCCCACAGGCTCATGGGTTTTTAATACTTAATGGCCAGTTGGTGGCACTGTTTTGAGAAGTTGTGGAACCTTTAGGATATGGAGCCTACCTGGGAGATATAGGTCACTTGGGGATAGACAGCTATAACCTAGTCCCGATGCTGGCCCCGGTCTCCGTTTCCTGATCCATCAAGATGTGAGGAGCCTCAGACAGAGCTCCAGCCTCCACATCCTCGGCCATGCCTTTCCCACTGTAAGGGACTGTATACCTTCTGGTAATGGGCAAGGAGCCACATAAATTCCTTCTTCCCTTAAGTTGCTTCTGCCAGGTGTATGAGCACAGGGATGAGAAGAGTTACTACAGCAAAGTGCTCTGCATTTACATTCTAAAGGTGAGGCCCATTTCTTTACCCCAAGGAATGTGCACAAGACAGTTTAGGACTCCTTTTCCTGTAAGGGGACCATGTGTCATGTCCCTGCAGGCCAGGCTTATGGCATGCCAAGTTCCCAGAGTCGCCAGTCCATGCTCACAGTGGACAGCCCAGAGACTAACTTCTAATTGGCATCCGTAGGCGACAAAGCCAAACCTGACTTTGGTCGGGACATGGGGGAAGCCAGCCCAGAGGTTCCAAACAAAGGTGAAGCCGGTGATCCAGGGGGCCTGCCCTGAGCACCTGGCAGTTGCTTTTTATTGGTTTCCCATGGTCGGCAAACGAAGGTCCTCTGGCCCTGGAGAGTGGGGAAAGGCAGAAGAGTGAGATGTAGAGAAATAAAGGCAGAGCGGTGAGAAGCCGCAAGGGATGGTGGCCCGAGGCAGGAGGAACCCTCCAGGCCCAGCAGGGTCTGCCGAGCTATTGAGAGGTGTTGCCTTTGAGCTGGAGCTCAAAGGCTGTGTTTGCCTGGAAGCAAAGGGGAGAACAGAGGGATGAGATAACATAGCACTGTAGGGGGGGGGCAGGATCAGAGAGTAGGAGGTGGGAGGTGAAGCCCTGGGGGAGAGAGGGGTCTTCATGGCTGATCTGTGGAGGGGTCCACATATTATTTGGAAGGCAATAGAGATCCATTAATGAGTTTAAACAGAGAAGTGACAGGAATAGACTTGTCATTTAGGTCACCTGACCCAGAGCAGGTACTGGAGTCGTGGAGGAAGCAGCCAGGAGACAACTGTGATTGTCCAGCTGAGTGATGAAAAGGCTTGAGGGGGGGGCAATGGAAGAGGGACGGAGGATAGGAAGGAAATCTTAATGTGATAAGGTCATACAGGGCCGTAGCCTCACATAACCCGAGGATCATCAGGCATGCTGACTTGTATATAATGGGTTTAGTCATGCTTGGACCATAGGGGTGACATCTAGGTTCCTGGCTTACACAGCTGGCTACCATAAATTAGGATGGGAATGAGGCCGACTGTAGACCATTGGCTCCCTTGCCTGTGCCCCAGAACTGCTAGGGGAGCTTTGACAGGCACCTCTGGTACCTCAGAGGTTCTCATTTGATTGCTCGGGGTTCAGCCTGGACCCTGGGGTTTTCAAAAGCTCACAAGTAATTGCAATGGGTAGCTAAATTTAGGGACCACTGCTGTAGGATGTCGAGAAAGCCTTATCTGGGGTGCTGCCCCGCTGGCTCAGCCTCCCCTGGCCTCCTCTCTAGCTGGTCCACAGGACATAAGTCATGTACCTTTCTGGATGTTCAGACCGGGAACTGGGGTTTGGTCCATTTACTTCGGTGTTGACAGGGTCTTAGCATAGACAGACACCTATGATACCCCCAGAGCTCATGCTTGGAATCGGGGTTCAGCTTCAGTGGGGTTCTCTAAAGCACCCTGCAAACCAACTCCAAGAGCACCAAGAACTCACCTTCACCAGCATGGCTGCTAAAGGTTCAACCTTAAAATTCAGGCTGGGTTCTTCTAACAGAACCAAGGAGGGAGATTAATACATCGATGCCATTGTTAACTATTCTAGAAGGCACTGTCTGGCCACAAAGGTGGCGGGCGAGCATGTAAGAGGTTGTGGCAGGCCATCCAGTGCCTTGAAGTGGGTGGCAGACCTGGGGCTCTGGTCAGTTGCCTGGCCTGAGTAGAAAACCCTGGCTTTGGGCTCTAAGTACCCACTCTGTCATGTGACCTGGCACACGCTCTTTGGAGAACCGCACTCCCCGTCCTGGGTATTGACAATGACGAGGTGCTCAGCAGCACCCAAAGGCTGGAAATGGGCTGTACAATCGCACTGACAGGGGAGGGGGCCACTAAGCTGTCCACTGGGCCCCAGAGTGTGATTTGAGTCAGTTTAAACCTCAAGTGATTTACTGATGCTTTAAATAATTGACATCTGTTTGTTTAAAAAAATCTAAGTGCAAACAGTTTATACAAACCAGTGTCCATTAAAGGGACCTCTAAGAACCTAAGCACTATTAAACAGTTGATGTTGCCGGGCGGTGGTGGCGCACGCCTTTAATCCCAGCACTCGGGAGGCAGAGCCAGGAGGATCTCTGTGAGTTCGAGGCCAGCCTGGGCTACCAAGTGAGCTCCAGGAAAGGCGCAAAGCTACACAGAGAAACCCTGTCTCGAAAAACCAAAAAAAAAAAAAAAAAAACAGTTGATGTAAGCGATTGTTCCTTAAGGAGAATTGAAATCCTCAGCTCCTTCCCAACCCTTAAGTACTACAGAGGGGGAGTGGTGTGTGTGTGTGTGTGTGTGTGTGTGTGTGTGTGTGTGTGTGTGTGTGTGCAAGTGTGTGTGTGCAAGTGTGTGTGAGTGTGCAAGTGTGTGTGAGAGAGTACGTATGTGTGTGAGTGTGCAAGAGTGTGAGTGTGAGTGTGTGTGTGTGTGTGTGTGGTGTGTGTGTGTGTGTGTGTGGTGTGTATAGGATAAAGTGAGGGCAGGGGATAAGAAGGGGGAGGAAATCAAGTCAGTTCATCTGCTGTCACTATTACCAGCATAACTCAACAAATGGTCATCAGCATCTTCAAAAAGGTGTGTGATCTGCCATGCTGGAGGCTAGGGGAGGCCAGCATGATGCTAGCCTGAATTTGCCAAGTAGGCACTCATGAATGACTTTCATCAAGGCAGTTCCAGGGCCTAATTGCTACCATGTTATGATCTTAGGGTACCAGAAGGCCTGTAGGAACAGAAATGATTATGTTGGCATACATACACACCAAAACATGTAATAGGACTTTTTTCGGGGATTAGGAAGACATTGGGGGTGATCCCAGTTCTCTTCTAGCCTGCCTCCCATCCTCCACATTTGGGCCCAGCAGCCTGGGGCTGTTGGTAGTTTAGACTCTGCTCAGTGGTGAACTCAATGCTCAGATAGTGCTGATGCTAAGTGGTCATCTCTGATGTGTCTAGGGGAGCTGCCATGTCCACACAGCGACCATTCTGTTCGTATCCTGGTGGCTTACCTGCTCTTCCTTGTAGACCAATTTCTAAACAGTCTTATTAAATAAGAAACACAGAGCCAAATACAGAGGTAATAGCCGAAGAGATCAGAGCGAATAGCCATGACTAGCCTTAGCTTACCACCAGCAGTAGCTTCCACAGAGAGCTTCTTCTTGTCCAACCTGTGGTTTTATTGCCTTCCTGTTCTACCTTCTCATTGACTCTAAGCCCAGCCACATGACTTCCTTGTCACTGCCTGTCTATACAGACCTCCAGGTCTCTATGGTTGGTACTGGGATTAAAAATTCGTGTCACCACGCGTGGCTGTGTCCTTGACCACACTGAGACTCTGCCTGCCATGTGATCGGATTAAGGGCATGGGCTACCACTGCCTGACTTCTGTTTATTATGGCTCGCTGACCTCTGATCTCCAGGCAA